CTGTTAATAAATGAAGGTCATTGAACTTCAGGGTTATCCTTAATCTCCAAGGTGTGACACATTCTCAACATTTTTGAAAAAAGTTACCATACATTACCTTCTGAAGAATCCAACCACATGGCTACAGTTCCTAGGCTTACAATAATGTTTGCCAAGGCTGGCCGTATTGGACTCTCAATCCCCATTGGCATCAGAAGGGGAGAGTTTTTTATGAAGGCCCAATAGGTCTCTGCCATGTCGGGATTCAGCAGCAGCCACAGGGCGCATGCAGCGCTCAGGAACCCAAAGAGGAACTTCATTGTCCTGTGGAAAGACACAAACAGATCCCTGGGCCCACACCAACACCGGATCAGGTCCCCTCCAAGTGCCAATAGAAAGATCCTTCCATCACACCAGAGGATGATTTGCAACAGGAGCCCTCCAGCGCTTATCTTGCTTTGGTCCAGTATTTCCTCAGTATGCTCCCTTCCCTATGCTTTGGAATGGTAATGTATATCCTGTGGCATTATATATTGAAAATATGTGATTTGCTTGTTTATTTTGATTTTATAGGGGATTACAGTTAAGAGAGTGCATGAATTTTAGAAGAGACTTTGAACTTTAGATTTATAAATAAATTTGAGACTGTTATATAAGACTATGGGGACTTTTGAAGTTGGACTGAATGCATTTTGCATTATGATATGGCTCTTTAGGGGCCAGAGAGTGGAATGTGGTGGTTTGAAAGAAAATGGATCTCAAAGGAAGTAGCACTATCAGGAGGTGTGGCCTTGCTAGAGGAAGTGTGTCACTGTGGAGGCAGGCTTTGAGGTCTCATATATGGTCAAGCCATGCCCAGTGAGGAGGACCACTTCCTGCTGCCTGCAAGTAAAGATGTAGGGCACTCAGGTACTTCTCCAGCATCATGTCTGCCTGCACACCACCATGTCATACCATGATGATAATGGACTAAACATCTGAAAGTGTAAGCCACCCTAACTAAATGTTTTTCCTTTATAAGAGTTGCTGTAATCACGGTGTCTCTTTACAGCAATAGAAACCCTAACCAAGGCAGAATGCCTTCACATCCTCATATCTTCCTACAGACTTGTGGACATTTGCTGTTTTTCCATACTCTGGGCAGACTGTCAAGGTTTCAGATTTCTCCAGCCCCACCCAACTTTTAGATACCTGCTACTCACTATGTTGAGAATACTCATTGCTGGGTGCTGGTAGTGCATGCTTTTAATCCTGTAGCACTCCAGGAACAGAGGCAGGTGGATCCCTGAGTTCAAGGCCAGTTTGGTCTACAGAGCAAGTTCTAGGACAGCTAGGACTACACAGAGAAACCCTATTTTGCCCACCCCCAACATGAGTGCTTATCTTCCTGGCAAATCTACTACCGTTCATTAAGGACTCTCAATATGATCAAAGTATGCATAGGTATGAGATGTGCTTATCATTACACACAGCAAAAAGGAGAGGACTGGAGTGAGGCACATGTTTTCTTTAAAACTATAGGAGAAAGGGAGAAGAGGCATCCCCACACCCATATATGCCCTAAGGATCAGTCACGTTCTGACAGGAAAGAAACCGCAGAGTCAAACCGGAAGAACAAATGGAATAATGTGTGAAGGATTTTAAAGAGGCTATGCCTTAGGGAGGCTTTCATTCCATCCAGGCCAAGGCCACTGCCATTTCTTCAGTTCATTTTTCTTTCTGTTGCTGAGGATCACAGGAGGGCCTCATAATGCGAATTCAGCACTCCACCACTGACTACAGCACCAGCCTTCAAGGCAACCTTTCAAAGGCTTTAATGCCTCAACTTCATCCTCTTTTATTTTCTGTACTTTTGTACCAGGCCTTCCATTTGATCAACTCCAATAAGAATACAGAGGGGGAAGAGGAGCTTTTCGAAACCACACACTATGTGGTGTGGACTGGCCAAGTTATTCTGCAGGGACTAAGTATTAAAGTTTCTCAATCAATCCTGAGAAAGGATTTCCGTGAAGTTAAGACAGTCTAGTTTTAATGATTGTAAAATAAGAAGAAAAGAACGAGCAAAGCATTTCTTGTGAAACTCTGATTTTCTTCTGTAGACTGGGAAGTTTTCTCTGAGACCTCTACCTAGAGACTGAGTAGATGGGGATCAGTGGCTTCTGAAACTCAAAGTTAGAGAAATGGAAAATATATTTTTTCTTTATTGAAAATGTAATAAAACTTAAAATGTTTCTTAAAGAAGAACCCACAGGCCATGGTAACTCTGTTGGTGAAGTCCATAGAAATAAGTCTGCGGACAGAAAGAGTGAGAGGGAAGATGGGAGGTCTGGAAAGAAATATCAGATCAAGACTGTGGCTTTTATGGGAAGAGAGCTTGGAGCCACTGAGCTTTCTGGCAAGTGTGCTACCTGCTGAAAAGTTGCCAAGGTCAGGAGCAGAGCCAAAACCCTCATCTACTTCTCCTTGATTCTCAAGTCTCCCCAAACTTCAGACCAATCACTGGGCCTCTAGAATATTAACAAGTATTTGGTCTGGTGAGAGGTATAGAAAGGCAAAGTCAGGAGAAAATGGAAGAAGATTAAAATTAAAAGCTAATTCCTCTCCATCTTCAATAGGTTGACGCTAGATGCAGGTTGTTAAGGTTCAGTCTCAAATACTCACTACAGAGCTGTGTTTTGAAACTTGTTTCCCAGCTCATGGAGACATCAGGAAGGTTCTGGACACTTTGTAAGGTGATTCCTTGATGGATGATTTTAAAGTTTGTACCCAGGCCTTAGCTCCTACTTTGCTCTCTGCTTCCTGGCCTTCCAGGATGTGAGAGACTCCACTGCATGTGCCCACACCCTTCACCAACATGATGGGCTGAAACACTCTAACACTATGAGTCAAAATGAGTATTTCCTACCTAAGTAATTTCTTTCTGGTATTGTAGTAACACAAAGGGAAAGTCACTAATATATTGAGAAAATTATAAAGCATTCTGGGGAACTTTTGCTTGATACCTGGACATTCATTAAGTGCAAATGACTATAGATAATTAACTTCTACACGTGTAATAGGTATTTTCATTTGATTTCTAAAGGCATGTAACATTTCTTATACCTTTGTTTTAAGTACTTTTATAGACTTCTGGCAAATGAAACTTAATCAGTTTTGCACATGATCTACTTATGCCTCAGTGAGTTTTCATCCTTAAACTGTTTGACTATATTTTTACAGTCTTAATTATGTTTTAGTTAGTCCAATGAGGCCATATTTGTTAAGCATGAGCGTATTAGTTCCTCTTCTACAGCTTTAATAAGATAGCATGACCAAGTCAACGTATAGAATATGCTCCAGCATATGTCTTTAATAAAATGAAACAGTTATTTTGCATATTACAACATAAAGCATATTACCGGTATACCACACAATCCTACAGGGCAAGCAGTTATAGAAAGATTGAACTCTAAAGGATATGCTTAATAAACAGAAAGGGGTAATAAAGACCCCCAGAAATAGATTGCATAATGCTTTATTAACTTAAAATTTTCTAAATGCTAATGGGAAAGGATTAACAGCTGCTGAGAGACATTGGATAATAGAAAAAAACTACTGAATTAAATCAGCCTGTGTACTTTAAAGATGTGCTAACCTCAGAATGGAAACCAGGATATGTGTTACATTGGGGAAGAGGTTTTGCTTTGGTTTCCACAGGAGAAGAAAAAATGTGTATACCATCAAGATTGATGAAGAAAAATCTGAACAAAAGAGCCTTCCTGATGAGGAGATAGTTAAGACTCAACTTGGCCTAATGGTATAGTATATTCCAACAGAATAAAATTTTGTAAGCCTTCCTAAATATTTGTTTTTGTTGTTCTTTACAACTATAAAACACAAATGATCTTTCTGTAATCCCAATTTAATTAAAATTTAAAGCTGGCTTTGGGGTTGGAGCATGTTTGTTCCATGCTAAACCCCAAGTATGTTTGTTAAAGAAAAATTCAAAATCTCTGTCTTGTGTCAGAAGAGCCACTTGATGTGGGATGGAAGAAAACCAAAATTTAGGGACTTTACGATTGCCAATAATCTCATAATCCTTTTGGTTTTATTTTAACTATTTAAAACTTTTCATTGACATTATTAGCTCTAAATTTATAAGGCTATCCTGTATATGACCTTTAAAATGTTTAAGTTTTCAGCAGTGAAACATAACCATTCATAACAGTGACCTTTGACATCGCTAATAGAAGATGGGGCCCCACAATGATGATTCTATAGGGACTGTGGTAATGCCATTAACAAGCACCACCCAAAGATCAGTATCAGACTACAAACTGCTCTGGACAACTCTAAAGTTGCTTGCTGAGAGGGTCCAGCCTCATAGGATACTTTAGCCAGGATTTCAGATGAACTCTACACTTTCCCATTACAGAGACTGGACAATGAATGTTGCGGCTGGCTTTCTCAGGACTTGGCCAATATTTCAGTTTTTTTCATGGTATCATGACCCCCACAGAACAGGAAGTAACTTTGGGAACATGATGCCCACATTCCTGTGAGGTAGGGAGAATGGTATTTGGTCAAATGGTGGCTTATGGATGGCTGTCATCATTTATGGGGGTTGTTTATTAAGTGTTACTGGTATTGGCAAGGGAGGAAATTATACAAATGATATTACATTCAGGGATATCTTTCAAAAAAGAGAGGGAGGAATATAGAAATGATAAGATGAAAGGGTAGATTATTGAATCTACTTTAAATAATAAGGTAGATTATTGAACCTACTATAAAGTAAAATAACAACTATTAGCCTCAAGTATTTTGTATTTATAAGGACGTTCGTATATTGATACAAATTTAAGGTAATTTTTGCTACAACACACTGTTTATATGTTTCCATTCTTGTTTAAAGGATTTTTGTATATTAATACAAATTTAAGGTTATTTTTGTTACAACACATTGTATATATACTTCTATTCTTGTTTAAGGTATTATACCTATGCAAATCATTTTAAATGTAAAGTTCTAGTTTTTGAAAGCTATTATTATAAACTATATAGGATAATCAAGAAACATAGGTTAGTAGTTAGTCATTTATAACAAACAAATTTGTAGATATGCTAGATATGTTTCCAGATCATATAGAGATAAGTTTTAGATAGATAGATGGTCTTCAAACCTTTCAAAGACCTACAGAATATGGCACTTAAAATGTTTTGTTAACTTAGGGCTTTTCTTGACATTGAGACACATCTGCTCCTGGCAATACCAATTTACTTCAGAGATGATGGGCATTGAAGAAACTCCTTATGGAATTTGCTTTCAATGTGACAAAGCTGGCGATTTGGGCAGAAAACTGCTCTTACCTGTACAGATTGAGAGTATGTTGTATAAACTGGACATGCAGGACCCATAGGAAAGTGACCACTGAACTTCATCAAAACAATGTGGGATGGTCCTTCAGGGCTCCTGCTTCACAGAAGAATCTGTCAGACATTCTGCAGAACACAGAGGAAAGTGACTGATGAACTTTGCCAATATAGGCAAGATAGTCTTTCAAATTTCCTGCTTCACTGCAAAGTCTTCCAGATACTCTAAGCCTATAGGCTGAAGATGGATATTCCACTGTTGCAGAGGAACTTTGGATGACTGTCCAGGCAGTCAGACAGACGTCTCTGTCATTTCTAGAATTTTGAAAGTTGCTTGCAGCGCACTTTCTGTTTACTCAAACAATATTATATCCTTCTGGAGCCTTTGATGGAGTTGAAGACTAGATAGTTATAGTTGCAGTTTTCCTTAGGTATGATAGAAAGTAAATTGGATATAAAATTTTGGATTCACAAAGATAGGATAGATTATGGAGTATTTTCTTTAAATTTTCCAGACACAAGTGAATTGGAATTCAACACATTGTGAATATAATTTTTAGTTGGTAATTGTTCTTGTTGTATACAGTTTTACTATGTTAAAGTTAAAACCTTTCATTTTTGTTTAGACAAAAGGGGGAAAATGTTGTGGAATATTATTTTCCTTCTTTTTTTTTTAATGCTGAATGCTATTTATTGGAGGAAAGAGGTCTTAAATATAGGCTTACAGCACAACGGGAGAACCCCAGAGGGCAGAAGTTCACTACAGATACTTTACAATCTTGCATCTAAGCTGTTAACACCCATTTTGCAGGATACACAGACAAGGAACTTCCCTTAAGCATTCAGGAGGGTGGAACCCAGCAGGGAATTAGCATAGGGAGGATATCAAGATCAAGGTCAGCAAGCAAGGCAACAGTTACCCAAAACGGGGGCCAAGACCCTACAGGTCCCCCTTTTACTAAAAAATGAGCTTCTGACTTAGGTTGCATGGGACGTCAGCAGGTCACCTTACCCATCATGGAGACGCCTGCCCAAGCCGCACAGTCACTCTGTATTAGGTTGGTGAGCACCTCCCAGGCATTACCCGTCTCTGAATACTCATTATCATACATGCTCAATCATGTGTGAGCTGCAGAATTAACTGCTGCCAAAGATCTCAAAGTGGCACTGGGCTTGCAATCTGTGTGTTCGACACAGAAAAGACCAACAGAGGTCCTAGTGGAATATTATTTTAAATTGTGTTGCATTTGTTCCTACTGCTTTTGTTAACAATGCAAAGATGTGTTACATTTGTTTGATTAAATAAAATTAACCTGCAGGCAGGAGGCTGAATTAACAGGAAGTGGTAGGGAGGAACCGCGTATTGCTAGGGTTCTTAAGTGGTGGCTGAGTAGTAGGATGGAGGTTTTTTGAAGACACAAGCAAAGGGAGAAGGTGAGCTACTTGCTATTCAGCCTCTCTAAATGATCAGAATTCCACCTCAATCTTTGAAACATGAGTTCTTTAGAGGGATAGAGATCTAGATAAAGTTTCCCTTAATAGCTTTGAAAGAGTCAGTGCCTGAAGGAACAGAATTCCCTCAGGCTGTGGCCTTTGCAGCCAAACCACTGTAGGTAGCAGCAGAGTTACAGTCACTGATTAGGACAGCAGTTGCTTAAGGGGAAGTCACTTTAAATAATAAAAAAACAGTCAACAATATGTCTTGGTTTCTATAAGGCAATTAGAAGGGCATAGAGTTGCTTCTTTAGAAGTCTCCCAAACAGTTCCTGAAGACCATTATTACTATGTCAACAAATCCTTTATCTCCTTATGAACCAGGATTGCTCCTTGTTTCAACAGGTAGAATAATTTTTCTCTCCTGAAAATGAGTTTGACTTTTGTGATTATAACATGGTCGAAAGAGTACAGCAGAAATGATACTTAATAACTTTTGAGACCAAATCATATGAAGCATTTCAGTTGTCACCTGGTCTTTTGGCATGCTAACTCTGGGAAATCCAAACAACATATAAGATGTATTAAAAGTCTCATGCTTTGAAGAGACCCAAACTAAAAATACTGTGCAGGCTAGACAGAAACTGGACAGTCCACTTCTGTTCCTGCTGTTCTAGTGAGAGCACCAGGCAAGTTTGAATAGAATAAGACAACTGGAACATCCTTCTTCTCTGGTAGAAAATGTGTACAATACAAGCACTAGTTTCTGTGCACCTGCAGGTATATCAGTTCAGGTATAGTTGAACCAGGCATCCACAGAACCTGAAAAAAAAAGAGAACATTATAAATAGTAGAGTTTCAGATATTTTTACAAAGTAAAATTTTTACAATGATTATATATGTGTGTGTGTGTGTGTGTGTGTGTGTGTGTGTGTGTGTGTGTAATTTTTCAGGTTTAAAAATTGTTTCTTGATTGTACTTCTAACTGTTGGTCTCTTGCCATGAGTGTGTGAAGATTCTTGTGCTGCCGAACCCCCTCTTTTATACTAACAAAGTTTATGAGACATTTTCTAGCTGATGTTTTTACTTTGTCTCTGAAATAAAGAAATATTAGTGATTTCCATTTGCAATGGGGAAGCTGTGTCTGTTGTAGTCAATGCACAGGATGAGACACTCTTCTTCCATTCCTCAATAAGTGAAGGGAGCTTGTCATGATTGGCATGTCTTAGTTTCTATGTCCCCAAGTTTGCACACTACAGTGTTCAGAATCAATCTTAGAAAAATGATCCAACTGTGTTCTGGAGGATCAGTGTGAGGCCAACCTGAGGTTCTCTCATGCAGAGAGGCAGCTCTTCTCAAGGTATGTTTCTAAATATATAACAGAATTCTTTTATCTCTCTGATTCAGTTAAATATGAAGCAACTCAACTGCAATCAGAAATGAGTACAGAGGATTAGATCATCACACTTCTGGGAGGATTCTTTGGAAGCATAGAGATGGTCAGTCTAGTGACTTACAGTGACTTGAAAGATGCCAGGACTGTTTTGATCCCATTACTGAACAGGTTCCTGTCTAAGCCCACAGAATAATAGAATGTCCAAACTTAATCCAAAGCAAGCTAAGCCTGCCTTTTCCATGTCACCCTTCTTTGTGCCATGTAGGAATCCACCATTGTTTCTATGACCCACAGGCATTAGCTCACATAAGCACAATGCATAGCTATTGCATGTATGAGCATGCCTCAGACTCCTCCATTTGGTCTCCCCTCTCCAGTTGTAACATTTTGAAACCAGGCAGGCATTTTCAGATATATTCCCTCTGCATTCCCACAATGCTATTCCTAACACTGTGGATGATGGTATCCAGTGCCATTTTATAACAGGGACTATGGGGGTCCAGCCCCTTGATAGTCCATACCCAGGGTCCAGGAAGAATCTACAACCAGCTGATAATTTAATCTTTGATAATATGAAATGGACCTATGCACATGAAACTCCTTAGTTCATACACTTTATTCTTCTGAGTGAGTTCTCTCTCAACACAGCTTCTATTCTGCTCTCGCATCTAGTCCCTTTCTTGCCTGATTTGTCTCTACCTTTATCTGTTGTCCCCTCTAAGTTCTATCTTAATTCTCTCATCTTAGTTCTGTCTCATGTAGGGCCTTCTCATCTTGTTCTTACCCATCTAGTACTTTCCCATCTGGCTCTTCCTCATCTTCCATCCTAACCTCCAGTTCTCTAGTCAAAAATCCTCTCCAGCCAAAATTCTTAATATCCTCTTTTCATTCTCCTTATACTTCAGTTACCCATCTCTCAGGTGTTCAGTTGTAAATCCAAGACTTAGCAATCCTCTGACAGAGCAAGGTCACCAGACTTGAATTCTTACAGAGTCATAAAAGCAGGTAAGAATTTTCTTCAGGCAGTGGCCGTGGGGCTTTCTTTTACAACCCAAATGAGTGCTAATGATCTGTTAGTCAAGAAGAGAATTTATGTGCTCAATCTACATTCCTAGAAGTTGTTAGGTAAGAAATTAGGAGTCTATTAGTAAGGCTGTGAGGAAGCTATCCACCTGACCTAGGAGACAGGTGTTGTTTCATTTGGCCTTGGATACTTGATAGGTATTTTAGATAAATACAATGTTAGGAGTTATTGGAAGCACACCTAGCATTACAAGAAAATCACTGTAGGAAACAGCTAATATATATACAAAAGCTAAAATATCACCAAGACTTCTTAAGCCATGGCTTGACCTTTGGAGAAGTCCTCGACTTTTCCAAGTAGTAGCTTTTGTGATTGTAGCTGAATTCCATTATGTTTTCCTGCATCTTGCAGCAATTTTATGTGACAGTATTATGCTCATTACACAAACATGGGATCATAATTCTATTTGCCTTCATTTCTCACTTAGTTATGTATTGTAGACTTTTCCATAGGTACAAATGTTTCTTGCTGCTCTGTCTTTTCTAGACAGCTGTGCAGGGCTCTACCACCTCATTCCTTTATTGTACCTGTTTTGTGAAACCCCCAGAGACCACTAAGAAGCTGGTTTCTGATGCAAACACATAAGGGTCCTTTTATTCAGGTTCAACTTGGGCCACCACATGGCAGATGGAAGGAAATGTGGCAGCAGCCATGAGCCCAGGTGTAGAGAGTTTTTATAGGAAAAAAACACAAGCTGGGAATTGGCAACATGGGATAGGGTAGAAGGCATATGGGGCAAGGTGATTTCTTGAAACCATTGGTCTAGACTTTGGGAATGAAACCGTTGGGTTAGACTTTTGGCAGGGAACCACAAACTGCTAAACAGGATTATCTGGACTGTTCAACAGCTTTATCTAGATATCTTCAAGGGCCATAAACTGCAGATAGGAGGTGTGCAGGAAGATACTACTCTGTATCAGTTCAGAGTTGTCATGGCATATTCCTGAAGTCCTTCCTGGAACTGAGAACAGCAGGTGGTCTGAGATGGTGGCCCTTTCCCTAAGATGGAGCCTGTAAAATCAAGTCTAGACCTTCACATTCCCCCCTTCACAAGTACCAATGACAGAACTCAATCATGAGTCCTACCTGTCCAGAGGTTCAAGGATATTGAGACCTAAGAACCATTAGCTAACAGATTATTCTAGGGCAGTGACATCTGTATCCATTGCCATTCTTAAGGCCCTGTAGTTCTGATCTTTGGGTACAATCAGATTATAATCTTATATAGTACCTCTTTGGTTCTGCATAAAGAAGATCAAGTGTCTTATCTTATTGCAGAACCATTTCAGTTAATAAATTTATCAACTGACAACTCTGAAACTATTTTCCTAGTATGTCAATGTGCATTATAGTTGGCCATCTTACCATCTATGCCAGGGAGTTTTCTTTTGATCCAGCATTTCAGCCTTTTCTGAACAGGGAACATGGGGTGACATATTCTCTTTTAGAACTGCTTCTAACTGGCATTAGGGTGCTGTTCTCAGGGTCCCAAAAAGGCTGAAAGGCTGGTCAAATGCTTGGCAATGGGGCATCTGTCAGAAGCATATGGCTATCTGACCCTGTAGAGACAGGGAACAATCATGTTGACTGAGCTGGTCCACATCAGCTTTTAGCAAGTCCAGAGCTCACAGTTGTCCAGAGAAGTGTAGTCAGCAACTGAAGCTTGGAGGTGTCTGCCAGCTGAGTGGAAATCTGTTAAGACAAACTTAAACAAGAAAAAGAAGTTAAAATTTATGAACTTATTTAGAACCCTTAGGCTCGTAGTAATTGGGAAGAGCAGGAGTCCCAAGACAAGGAGAAAAAAATACCATCCTTAGTAATAAGCTGCACTTATCTGGGGTCCTTCCAACCTCTGTGAAGTGGATCCAAGTTTTATGACTCTTTTATCCAAGTTTTTATGACTTCTCTGAGGCCTACATGAACTATCTTACAAAATGACATAAAAGCTTTAGATACATTAGTATTACCAATCTGTACTGAAATCTATATTGTAGACAAAGCAGGTAATGGGTATCTGTAAAATAGCAGAAGTGGACTCATACCCTTGAGTCCCAACAAGAACTATAGATTTGGGTTAAAAGCATATGCAATTTCCTTTTGTCCAGAGAGCCAGGTATAAATTGGATAGAGATTTTTGGCCCGATGAGAAGCACTTTTAGGTTTATGTGTAGATATATTTAGATGACATCTAAAATAAATCTTAAATGTTGAGTTTATGACTGAACAGTAAGTAGTCAGAACTCTATTAAATGTTAAGTTCTGAACTGTTATATCATAGAACAGGAGAACAATCTGAAACATTTTTCATCTTAAATCATTTTCTGAGATCCTCAAAGCTTAGAAGCTTTTATGTCCTCAGACCTTTCTTAAACCCATATTTGAAACTTTATGACTTATTTAAACTTTTATATAGAACATTTTCTTTAAAATGAGCTAACAAGCTGGCTATAGCCTTGAAGAAGGATCTGTTTGTCTGATGCTGCCACGCTGACAAAGTTATACCTAACCTAGCCATCAGTACTATCAGAGATCTGAGAAGGATAAATTATTACTGAGTGCAGACAAAGCAGCTTCCAATTCTATAAATGACAGGGACCAGTCCATACCCAGGTCTCCATAGCATTGGAGGCACAAGTGTCAGAACAGCATCACCTTCTGCCATCAGGCCTGTAAGGCAGATTTTTTTTCCTGTGGAATAGGGACACAGAAGATTGATCTTACTTTGTCTAGGTAAAAGGGTGTAATCAATTCCAGTGTCCTGCTGCTTGTCTACAGTCTGAGCCAGGTCCTAGTGGCTGGTGTTGCATTGGGGTATCTTGCCCTGTGGTCAGTGTTGCCATGATCCAGGAGGAGATGTTGTGGTGCCTCATACATAATCTTCTTTGGAGACTTTGGGTCACTGCTAGGATCTGGAAGTCTGTCTGATATAATAAGCTTTTTAGATCAACATTTTGAATGCCATATTCTGCAGATCTCTGAAGTATGAGAGATTTCAGGTATATCTGAATAGACCAACTTTGTTTCTAGTTATTTGTTTAAAGCTCAACCCTGAAAACATATGCAAGGGACTGAGTAAAGCTTATTCCTGCAATATTATATCAGTACTTACCCTGACTACTATGAAAAAACCTGATTATTTATGCCTATTTATTTATGTTCTCTAACAGTTTATAATAAGTAGCCTTAAAAACAGTGATTTTTAAATTGAAGCTCTTCTAGTATCAAATATGGGTTCAACAAAGAAACCAAAACAAAATATCAATATAAAACACATATATAAATCAGTTTATCTAAATAGTTTGAGTTTAAGAAACTAACAAATACAAGGAGGCTAGACAACAT